CTCGTAGCTTCTTGCTCCTAGTAGTAAGGCCAGGAGCCCCTAGTAGCGTCCTTGCTCCTAGTGTTCTTATGCTAAAAGCAAGGTCGACGGTCCAAGGAACACAATATCAGAAAACAGATTTAGAGTTTCAAGGTAAGAGATAAAAGGAAAAACCACCCCCAAAAAGGGAAACAAATTACCGAAAACAAAAACAAGAAACGATCAAGCTGGCAGAGCCTAAGTCCATTTATATTTTGCGAGCACAGTAGCCTTCTCTTCGGACAAAGCGATCGTGTTCTTAGCACAGTCTCCTTTTTTTTGAAACAAGAGAAAACATTTTCTTTTCTTTAAAACTTTGGTTAGACCCTTTTTCTTCTTCCATTTTTTTCTTTTTCTTTTTTGGTTCAAGGAACCTGCTCCAAATCTGCTGCAGTCTTTTTCAGCCTATCGTGGCCTGTGGCCCAGTGGAGGCAAGGGGGTTCTCGTGTTTGTGTCTCTCCGAAATGAGGCCGTCCAAATCGGGGGCCAGCAGCCAGCGAGGCACGTAACGGGAGCATCAGTTGGACTTAAGCTAGCGTCCTTGCTCCTAGTAGCGATGCCAGGAGCTCCTAGTAGCGTCCTTGCTCCTAGTAGCGATGCCCTTTGTTCCTAGTAGCGTCCTTGCTCCCAGTTGGACTTATATAAGCTACCTTCGACAACAGGCGTGTCCATTTAGAGAAACACTGTCTTCAGACATTCGATCCAAACACCCAAGCGTTCACCTGTCCAGCTGCGGTTCTGCAGTTCTGCAGGAACCGCAAAAAGCTTGGCCAGAGCCGGCCCAGGCCGGACATCCACAGCATGTCGACATGCGCAGTTCGAACATGGACACGTACTCCTTCTCTAAATTTGGCGAATGAAGTAGGGACTCTATGATGGTGTTAAAGTAGTGCCAGTTTTGTGTGTTCTTTGTCGTTTCCTTTCCGTCTTTGGACAATACTGGCAAGGCGATTTCCTTCTCCAGCTTCTCACAGCATCGCTAGGGGTCTTTCTCAGCAGGTTGCACCCGCGGCGTTGCAGCCGGATTTGGCCCAGCATTGGCCAAGCAGGACTTGCAGCGGAATCTGTGGAAGAAGGCTTTCCAAATTTATGAAGCGGTACACGAAGCCTGGTTGGGAGAGAGACTTTCAAGCTTTTTGGACAAGATATCTCCTGCATGTTTTGACTTTCCGTTATCCGGGCGATTTCAAGATTTGAGGAGCTGGCTCCGCAAGAACCGTAAGATGCGGCACGGGCGAATCTGAGCCATGGAAGACTCAATTACTGTAGTGAAACGGAACATATGAGTTAACAACTCTATGACCTCCGAAGTAATAGCGATGGCCTCCAACCCAGAAGCAATGGGCTCCAACCTATGAGTTAGCAAGTCTATGAACTAACAATTCATAGAAACAGCACAGAGGTTAACAACTCAAGGTCAGGCAACATGTGGAAATAATGCATCTTACCTTGTAGCCAGCTAGCAGTAATAGGCACATGGATGTGCGAGGTAAACAGCTGCCCAGGGTCCACATGTCAATCAATACCTGAAGCGTGCAGAAGAGTATGCAACATGCAAGCGTGAAGAAATGTGAATATGCAAGGAGCGTTTCACCTTGAAGTGGGTCGTTGCTTTTCCGAATAGGCGGCCCACCTCAAAAAGATGTGCGGTGCATTGCCGCGGTGATGGCTGCTGCCTTGTGTTGCTCGCCTTGTGTGCTTTGCACCTTGAAGACCACGAAGCTGGGGCGACGTTGGGAAGTCAAAGAATGGCTGTAGGTGCAGGTGAAGTGCAGGCACCATTTGTCATCGCTCTTTTGGCTCAAACACATAGCTCAGGGTTTCCTTCCACCGCTGGAACCTCAGATCTTTCAATGTGAAGAGAAATTACAACTGAGTTTCGCTTCAGCTTGAGTAGAATCCGAAATCCGCTGGAATTCAGGAGGCATTGATGGTGCAGCCTGTTTGGTCATCTTAATGTCTCTTGGCGGCGCCAATGGCACCAACAACACAGTAGAAGAAGCAACTTGGCAGCAGACGATGGAGCAGAAGTCTGCGTGTCAACAAAATGAACGAAACACTGATCACACTGACTCATTCCTAGATTTGGGGGACTTACCTTTGTAGACGTTTCACGTTTCCTGCAAGGAACTCGACATTTGCGAAGGCGGAAAGGGCTACTGCCTTGGATTTTTTTCGATCTTTTCCGTTGTACCTTTACAGATCTTCACATCACCTCATTTGACAATTGAGTTGAACATGACACGTTGGGTCAACTCAAGGCCTGATCTTTCCCTTAGCCCGGCGCTCGTGAGCAAAGGAAAACAAAACAAATGAGAGACAGAACAAAGAAGAAGACATAAGGTCCATAAGGTCTTGAAAGGAGGACAAGAATGGAAACTGAAAGAACAGGTCTGAAGGTCCAAAGGAAGAAAGAAGAGGAAAGGAACTAAACAAGCAAGTATAGAACAAAACAACACGGAGAAGACTTGTGCGACTTGTGCTTTGTACATTTTCGTCGATTCGGTCCAAAGGTGGCTGATGAGCACCTATGGAATCGAGGGCTTCGAACGGTCCTCTACCTGGTGTTCCTGGGTTGGCCGTGGAACTCAGAACTTCGGATCGGAGATAGGCGGAGCTCCGCGGTCCGCTTCAAGGAAACTGGGAAGCTGTAGCGATGCACTTGTTACTAGTAGCGAACATTGTTACTACTAGTAAGGCACTTGTTACTAGTAGCGATGCACTTGTTACTGCTCGCACTATTCATTTAAATCCTAGATTTTGAGGGACACTTAACTATGGCCTCCAACTCACAAGCATCCTTGCTCCGTTCGTAGCGATGCCCTTTGTTCCTAGTAGCTTCTTGCTCCCAGTTGTAAGGCCAGGAGCCCCTAGTAGCGTCCTTGCTCCTAATAGATCTGAGAGATATTAGAAAACAATGTCCTTTTACCTATTAGCGTTGGTCTCCAACCTGATAGGGATGGCCTCCTACTCAATACTTCGTACCTCACAACCCTTACACCGCCTTACACCCTTACTGGCAGATCGGGTATTGGCGGTATTGGACATAGCTTGCCATTTCTAGCAGTTTCTTTTTCAAGATAACTTTCAAAACAACATAATGACATTTTGCTTCTTGCTCTTCTTTCCCCCATGGATAAAGCACGCAACATGGCCCAGATGGTCCGGAATATGAGGTGCTTCCTCGGAGTGGCCATCGTGTCGGATATCTTCATGGAGGTGGCCATCGTGTCCCGAATTGGTCAGAGTGACCTCGATGTTGGGTCTAATGTTTGGTGCATCGCATGTGCAAAAGGATTGGTGCTTTCAAAAAGGGAATAGCTATGGACTAAATGTCATTTCTGGACCGACTAGTTTGTTTCAGCATTCTGAACAGGCCATTCCTATCAGGTTGGAGGCCATCGCTAGTAGGTTGGAGGCCATCGCTAGTAGGTTGGAGGCCAACGCTCTTATCATGGAGGCCATCGCTAGTAGGTTGGACGCCATCACTAGTAGGTTGGAGGCCATTCCTAGCAATTAGGTTGGAGGCCATCGCTAGTAGGTTGGAGGCCATTGCTTGGTTGGAGGCCATTCCTAGTAGGTTGGAGGCCATCGCTAGTAGGTTGAAGGCCATTGCTTGTAGGTTGGAGGCCATCGCTAGTAGGTTGGAGGCCATTCCTAGCAATTAGGTTGGAGGCCATCGCTAGTAGGTTGGAGGCCATTGCTTCTAGGTTGGAGGCCATTCCTAGTAGGTTGGGGGCCATCGCTAGTAGGTTGGAGGCCATTGCTTCTAGGTTGGAGGCCATTCCTAGTAGGTTGGAGGCCATCGCTAGTAATTAGGTTGAAGGCCATTGCTTGTAGGTTGGAGGCCATTCCTATTTGTTTCAGAATTCTGGGAACGGAGGGAGCTGCAGCACACATCCAGATTGTCGATTGTGGTTGCTTGGTCGCTTACTGTCGCTTCCAGTCAACAGCTCCTTGCCTACCCGACTCCTACTCCGTTCTCAACAGCTTACCCGACTAAATTCACTCCACCCAAAAGAAACGCGAAGTGACACCAAAGTGTAGTGCTTCAATGTCCGAAACCTACACCGTTTTCCTGTTGCAGCCTTTGTGTTGCTTTCTTTGTGGTCGCTTTCTTTGCTTTGCGCAGGCCATCGAACGAGTTACATCTAAACGAAAGAGAAAGTCTGACTCCTCAGTGTCTCAGCATCTCAGCATGTCAGTTGCATCTAAATGAAGAATCCAACGAAGGAAGACGCCGAAGTTGAATAAGACTAGCTGCAAAGTTTGAGAGCAGTCGCAGTTTTCTTTCTAAGCTTAAAAAGTCGGTGAGTTTTTCAGACACAGATTGTGTTTGAACCGTAACTTGACTGTCCTTGGTTGAATGGACAACTTGAAGGTGTCAAGCAGAGAGGGAGAGGTCGACCAACGCCTTTCGGCCTTTCGGCTTAAAGTCGACCCCACGCCTTTTGCCACTTTGCCCTCTTCCTACGAATGGCTCCAAGTGACGAAAAGGACCGCTACGCCTACTTTCGAGATTTGGAACGGACGGATGGTCTTCTAGATGCATCGAGCTTTAGGAGGCCAGTCTTTAGCTTCGAAGAAGATTATACCTTCAGCCTGTTGGAGCCGGTCTTCCGAGATTTGCCAAATGGAGACTTTGAGAAGCTCAGTGAGAAGACACAGAAGCGCTTCTGTGTGGAGCTGGATCGCTGTGATTTGGAGCCTATCACAAGTGATGTGGATCGCTGTGAGGACTATATTGATTCCTTGGTGAGACTTTGCAGTGAGATTACACATGAATGTACTGGTAAAGACTTTGCTCAGTGGCGTTTAGTAGGTGATGCTGAGGAGGAGTTGCGAAAGGCTTGGAGGCACTTCGTTCGCTTGATCTCCATCCGAGATTTTGAATGGGAGAACTTGGTCTCGTATCTATCTGATCCACATGCTGGGTGGAATGCACCCGGTGAATATTCGAAAGCCAATTCTGCAAACATGTCTAAGATGATGCGATATGCAATTTCACAAAAACTGATGGTTCCTCTACAGATGTGGGCACTGCTTCTGAAGTTGGCGGGAGGTGAGGTTGCAGCTCCAAAGAAACGGAGCTATGTGTAGCCATATCGGAGACTTTCCAAGCAAGTGACGTGCCACATTCAAAAGGGACGCTAGCCTTCGTGGAAATGAGTTGACTGCAGCAGCATTCAGTGGGTTTGGGACAGATTTATGTGTTTTTTCTTTTTTTTTGAAACAGAAGCACAAGACTTTGCAACATTTGGCCACTGTCAATTTGAGGTTCAACACCGCCACTGGAAAATACGTCACTGTCAGGGCCAGCAATCCTAGATGTCTCAGCTGGCACGCAAAAGAAAGAACATAAATTAGAAAAGAGAAGAAGCAAAAGCAACAAATAGAGAAGAACAGAAAGGAGAAAAGAAAGGGCTAAGTCTTGCAAATAGAAATGTTTCTCAGATACTAGTAGCTTCTCGTTACTATTGCAAAGAAAGGGCAGTTAAGTCCAGGACCCACCGACATCTGAGAGAGAGAGAGAGGGAGGAAACGAAGAAAAGGTCAAACAAGAACATGTTTTGCATTTTTGACATTCAAGAGCTACTAGGAGCAAGAACGCTACTAGGGCCTCCTGGCCGTACTACTAGAATCAAGAAGCTACTAGGGCCTCTTGGCATCGCTACTAGGACCAAGGACGCTACTAGGGGCTCCTGGCCTTACAACTAGGAACAAGAAGCTAGTAGTGCCGGTGAGGTTTGGAATCCCACGGTAGCGAATCTGACTCTGATGGCTTTGGGTGGCCTGGAAGCACTGAGAATTGACGCCAATGCAACACTCGTTTCTAGAAATGTCCTAGGCTCCTAGGATGGAGGCCATCGCTAGTAGGTTGGAGGCATATTGCTTCTAGGATGGAGGCCATCGCTCTTAGGATGGAGGTCATCGCTAGTAGGTTGGATGCCATCGCTCTTAGGATGGAGGCCGTCGCTCTTAGGCCATCGCTAGTAGGTTGGATGCCATCGCTCTTAGGATGGAGGCCATTGCTAGTAGGTTGGAGGCCATCGCTAGTGGAATGGAGGCCATTGCTTCTAGGTTGGAGGCCATCGCTAGTAGGTTGACATGTCCGAAATGAGGATCGAGTGCTCCGGAGATCCTGCTGTCCATCATTGAGCTTTTGGGCAATCAGGCAATGAAGCTATTAGAAACAAGAAGCTACTAGAAACAAGTGCATCGCTTCTAGTAACAAGTGCCTTACTACTATACAAGAAGCTATACAAGCTATATAAGCTTTACTTGAAGACTTCACCAGGGCTTGTCCCTCCGTATCCGGGACTGTCAGGTTCACCTTACGAATGGACTGGATTAAACTAGAGTACCTCACGGTACCCCTTACTAGTAAGTAGCACGAACGCTTCTTCAAATGAGGACGCTTTCTTTACTAACCTCTTTGAACACCCTTTGCATCTCTAAATCTACTGTTTCACTTCTTTTCAATTGTTGCTAGTAGCAATACACTTGTTACTAGTAGTGAGGGGGCGGGGAGCGGGCTCAAAAAAAGGAAAGAAAAGAAACATGTTACTAATACCAATGCCCTTTGTTACTAGTAGCGACCCTTGCTCCTAGTAGCAATGCCCTTTGTTCCTAGAGCACTTTTACCAGGTTTTTGCCGGGGACTTGGGCCCGTCCCATCCTGAGAAGTGCAGTGTCCGCTCTTTTGCATATTTTGTGCAGCTTGGTATGCGGCTTCAAGTGGACTCCAGGTCGACCATTGTAGGAAGTGCCGCGTTTAACCTTTTCATCATCAGTGCGGTGCGCAGCTCAGCAGAGGTCGCAGGATGATTTTATCTGATTTTGCTCCCCTGATTGAAGTGCTGGGTTTAACGGGCAAGGTTTGCGTCATGTCAATCCCCACTGGACAAGTGCGGTACATCAAGGAGTGATCCCTGCTCTCTGTGGGAAGAGAATCAGTGGGTCTTCTCGCAAATGGTGTGCAGAGAGCTGTGTGCAGGAGACGAATGTATATATTGCAGGGGAGCTCAGGACCTGGCCCAGAAAACCCAGCCGGCAGCACGTGGGGTACGACTGGCACATGTGAACTCAAGCTTGAGCAGAGAATGCATGCAGGTCACCGCGATCTTCTCGATCCTTGCTTATGTGTCTGCAGCCCATTTTTGTTGAACCTTTTCTCGACCATGTTTGATAGGAATGATATGAAGCTTGCTTGATATATGTGTCGTGCAAGATACACTTGCTAGTAATCAGGTGGCTCATTGTCATCTTGGACTGGATCTCCCCGAATGTTGCTTGGCAACTTTGGCACATGTCTCTTGCGTATGCCAAGTAGAGATATGGCCTGAGAACTTGAGAACATATACATGATCAGCAGGGTTTCAAGGTTATAGACTTTTGCACATCCATCGTGGATGTGGCGTAGAACAAAATTCTTTTTTGTCTGAGAAGTGTGCATGCTCAATCATGCCTGGCTGTTTAATCCGGGTTACCTGCCTTCCATTTCCTAGCCGAAGGAGCGTGTGATCTCGTCAGGTGGTAGAGATCTGGGAAGCTGCCAACGTCTCGGACGGTTGCTACGTCTGCTCTTCGTTACGTCTCGCTTTTCGCTACAGCAAGTGCCACCGTTGCTACGCCAATTCTGAGGTGATTACATTTATTTTCTTCCCTTTGTTGGTCACACACCAAGCAGAAGTCACTGTGAGACTGAACTGGCCGCAGAGTAGACTGCTGTAACGAAGATCTTTGTTTCTACCTGCATGCACTGCATGAATGTCCTTGGTGACCTCACTGAGCTCAATGTGCGAGGTCTTCATCGCCTATGCAGCGGACATTGGATGGATCGGCTCCAGTGAAACGTCCAGGTCTTAGACCTTCTAACAAGAAGCTACGTTCGGGGCTCCTGGCGTTACTAGGACCCAGGAACAAGAAGCTATTCATTTGGTTCATAGATTTTAGGGACACTTAAAGCTTTGGTGACGGATGAAACATGTTCTCTAAGGGTCAAAATGGGCCGTGGCGCTGTCATTACGGCGGATATGACTTCAGAGGACACGACCACACGGGGACGGGGATTCATCCGACTCGGAGGGGTCGTGATTTGTGTCAAAGCACCAGTGTCGGGACTCAAAGGGCGGGGGGTCGCTTGTGTAGCGCGTTTTGGGTCGCTTGTGCGTCGCGTTTTGGGTCGCTTGTGCGTCGACTACTACTACTACTACTGCTACTGCTACTGCTACTGCTACTGCTGCTGCTACTACTACTACTACTACTACTACTACTACTCCGAGACGAGTACAGTGCCTTGCCTAGCGCCTTGCATCGCAATGCGCGTTGACAGACAGACCTCGAGAAGCACTCAGAGAAACTACCTGCGGCCTTGTCGTTTTTCTTGAGCTCAGACACCCCTATATATATATATTTGTCTTTCTTTGTCTATATATATATATATATATGTCTCTCTCTCTATATATGTATCTACCTACATCGAAGAGGTCGGGTATATGAATGATCCCTGATTCTCTGCAGGTTCTTCTTCCATGCTGTTGGATTCCACCTTGGTTCCAGTTCTATGATACTCTTAGACAATGCGTACTGCCAACATTTGTGGCTCTTGGTGCACTTTGTGCGACGCATGCTCTTGCTAGTCTGTCAGCCGATCCATGTTGACACCCCACCCCACCCCACCCACCCGGAGGTAAGATGTGATGATGTGGCCGCGTGGGCCAATCATTCCATTAGATCCCCACCCACCCCACCCCCCCACCCCGCCCGGATGTAAGATGTGATGATGTGGCCGCGTGGGCCAAATTGAGATCATTAACAATTCCCACATCTCACCATCATTTCCCATCGATGCGCAAGTGACCCGCTGGGTCGATGCGGTCGATGCGTAAGTGACTCTCCGACGCGCAAGTGACCCCCGATGCGCAAGTGACCCATTTTGCGATGCGCAAGTGACCCTCCTGCCGGACTCAAAGCAAGTGATTTGTGATCTGTTCAACTTCAGGTTCTTCTTGATCTTCGGATCTTTTTTCAGGAACTCAAAGATTTAGAGTTGGACATTCGAAAAAGACATGGCCAGAGGCTCAGTTGGATTTCTGCGCAGGAAGGGTGGCTAGAATTTGGTGCACCGACGACCACTGGTCTTCAGTGTGTTGGGTTGTACACACTGGACGTCACCACCTTGTTTTTGCAATCCTTGCTTTCTACCGGACAGCTGAAGACACAAGAAATAGTTCCCAGAAGCACAAAAAACAAATCGAAGAACCTGATCCTTCCTGCGGCTGTCTGTTGCCTGGTAGCTACTTAGCTACTACGTTTTGTGTGCAAGGCTGCTTGCTTTTTCTTACCCCTCAACGGCCTACCCTCCCTCGAAAAAAGACACTGACAGGAATGAATAAAGGAAGACAGGTCTAAAGAAAGAAAAGAAACGATCATGACAGAAAGGAACTAACATCCAGTTTCTGCAAGGGTTCCGCAATCCGTTTCTCACGCTTGAGGTCAAAACCTCACGCGAGAGCAAGTGTTGCAAGCCCAGCACAGTCAACGTGCAGTCGCGAGTGTGTTTGTGTCAAGCAAACTTGAAATCTGTCTACAGGATGCGTGTCTACAAGTCATTGTCAAAGCATTGGGTGTGACATTGTGTTACGTCGGTACGTCTGTACGTCTGTCAGTCGTGCTTGGCTCAGGGCCCAGATCATGGAGATTGAATGTGCAGAGCCAGCGAGTTGGATTCTTTGAAATCTTTCTCGCGAGCGTTCAGAGACGCGCGTTCAGCGAATGCTTGAACTTGCTTCAATACACCAATAGCCTCTACATCCTTTTTTTGAGTTCTTGACGGTTGGCAGGATTTTTTTGCTGGTGTGTTCCATGCTATATCATGCACTTGAGGCAAAGCGACATATCGCGGCAGACGAAAGCATCACTCGAAGAAAGTTACAGGTGCAGCTGTGGCTCTCAAAGTCAAATCTTCCCCCTAGTAGCGTCCTTGCTCCTAGTAGTAAGGCCAGGAGCCCCTAGTAGCTTC